AATTAATGTTAATTTCTTTAACAAAATTAATTAATGTTAATTTCTTTTCTTGAAAGATTATGCTAATCATGGTATAATATTCCTGGCGTGCTGCTTTAATAATAAGCTTACTTTATTCCTTCACTTGGTACAAAATAATGTTTTTATCTCACTTAATATGACTTGGCAAAAGTCTACTTGCGCTTTGCAAGCCATGGTAACTGAAATCAAGACGACAAACCACGATTTACTAGAAGATGTATCGCATGTGTTAAATTCTTATCAACCTGATAAAACACTGAGAGGTCATTATTGCAAAAATCACACAAATGATATCATTATCAAGGGAGAGCCAAGGTATGACAAATAAACCAACTACAATTTGTGTAATTTTATCAGGAAGTGGCAGATAAAGGCACAGAAGAGTGTGCCTTATTCTAAAAAAACCACTGGATAATTTGAGAATTCTGTCATTCCTTTTTAATTTTGAAAAGATGGTTTGCTTATGTTATTTCTTATTTCCATTTTTGTATGTCAAATTTCCAGAAAAAAAGACTGTTTTGACAGATCTATTTTCAGGCACCTCATTATTTCATCATCAGCAACATTTTTTTCAAGGTACACTAAGCAATCATTTACCCTTGCAAAACCACTGGGAGATAGGTTAAGAAATGCAAATTTTACAGAAAGGCAACTCAATAGAAGCCTTGTAATACAGCAAGATCTAAATTGAGTAATACAATTTCTATATTTAATGTTTTTTATACCTCTGTTACAACACATAAAAAGTTATGAAAGTATAATTCTCACTTTTTTTTTTGACAAAATGTATTTATGCTTGCCTATATTCATACATTGCCTCTTTCTTATTACAAAGCTTACTTCTTTTTTCAGCTAAAACCTACTTAGACGTTACAATAATAAAGAAGCCTGAAGCCAGTAATTGGGTTTGGCATCAAAGCAGATTTTTATGAGACATAAACTAGCTGGAAACAAAAAGTCATTTTGACCACATCAATTCCGTTATTTTACAAAGACAGCGAGATACTTGATTTTAAGGATCAGAATACAGTGTAAAGGCCTAAAAAAGGTAAAACCAGTTTTAATCAACTGAAGTTCAATCTTTTTACTGTATAGAAGATAATAAGGTTTTCATCATGCACACTGAATTAGCAAATCACAATTTCAGTTATCATCTAGAGGTGTCTTAAAATGCATTTAAGCTAAATTTCAGACATACTGTCATCTGTACATCATTTCACCTAATAGGAAAGTAAAGATATTTGCTTACATTAGTGGGAAGGATGAATGATGGGCTGCCTTGCCACATTTCTCCAGCCCATTCAACTTTTGTTGTTAACTA